AGCCCAAATACTTGCGTTAGTCACTGGGGTCATCAATTTTGGGGGCCACTGAGCAGGTTAGAGGCAGCCTTGGCCCTGGGCAGCTGGTAGCTGAGACACGGCTGGTAAAACCGGCTGGAGACAGCAGAGACTGTCCCCGAGCTGGGACCGGTGCCGGTTTGTGCCGCGCCGTAGGTTTTGTAGCGAGGCCGTAAGCCTGATGCGCAGGGTGGAGCTGGGGTAACTCGTGGTGCTGGCACCGGGGTCATCTGACCAGCATCTCCAAAGCGCAGCGGCGGTCTGCCCGGGATCTGGGGAGCTCTGGCCTCTGCCTCTGGGCTTAACCCTGAAGTGGGAAGTTGGGAAACCTTTCCGGGGTCTCCTGCTCTTCCCTTCCCTCTCCCGACACAGCTTTGCTGTAGCAGCGGGTCCCGTGCCCTGTCCAGGACACCCCCTTGTCAGTCGCTCCCAAATTCCTCCCGTTTATTTCACCCTTAGGAGCCTGTGCCGGGGAGAGCAGAGACTCTTCCTCCCCGAACCGGTTGCTCTGGATCCATAAAGCGGCTTCCTCCAGCCTCATTTTTAGGCGAACAGACGTGTTTTTCTAGCTGCGTTACGCAGGTGTCTTCCGTGAGGCCTTGCTCCTTCCCGCAGGGCCGCTTCGTCCCGGGGGAGCCGGCCGATGCCCGGCTCTGGCCGTCCCCTCCTGCCTGCAGGTCTCGCCACGGATCAGGCAGGCTCCCCTTCCTGCCTGACGCATTACCCGTGAGCGCGGTCCTGTCCCCGGGGCAGCCTCTTCCTCCTCCTCCTCCTCCTCTCGCCCCTCCAGAGCGCCGTCAACGTGCCCCGGGACTTCGAACTCCACTACCTGCAGAGCCGCATCCCCATGGGCGCCGAGCAGGAGGCGGCAGTGCCCATCGCATGGTGAGGAGGAGCCTCTTCCCCTTACCCTCTCTCCGGCGTGGGGCTCGGGCGTCGCGGATGGGAGGATGGGCTCCCAGCGGGCGCTCCCTGAAATGCGGAGGCTGAACCCAAAGCAGAGCAGCTGCTCCCTCTTCCCTGTGCACGTCCTTCACCGGCATCGGATGCGCCCCTCCCCGAAGCTCGTCAGCTGTACCTGGGTGGCACAGGGGTGTCCTGGGGACCCCTTGGGAAATGGCATCCTGGCCTGGGGGTCATAGAATCATAGAATCATTAAGGTTGGAAAAGACCTCCAAGATCATCGAGTCCAACCGTCAACCCAACACCCCCATGCCCACTAAACCATGTCCCGAAGTGCCTCATCTACCCGTCTTTTAAATACCTCCAGGAATGGTGACTCAACCACTTCCCTGGGCAGCCTGTTCCAATGTTTAACCACTCTTTCAGTAAAGAAATTTTTCCTCACGTCCAATCTAAACCTCCCTTGGCACAACTTGAGGCCATTTCCTCTCATCCTATC